TTTATTATAAAGTCTTTATATTGTTATATTTTAGAAACCACAACAACATTGAATTGTTAAGAACAAAATATGGTAAAGAATTGGACTATTATGGACAAAAAGTTATAGAAATCATTCTGCCATCTGGTTCATTGTCAAGGTGAAAATATTGAACTGTAGGCACATAAAAGTTGGATTAGATGTGCCCTTGATTTAATACTCTTTTATACTTGATTTAAAAATCGCGGGTTACTCACGTGAATATACTGAGAAAAGCTCCTAGTTATCCTAAACGACTGAACTAATTTGAATGAATTTTTGTTTATATATTCAAGTGGATATGCAGGACAACGTCCTTCGGGTTCGCTAGTTAAGTATAAAAAAAAATCAGTATATCTGAAGTTATTGTGAAAGCATTTATTTTGGTTGTGCTCTCATAAGCATCAGTAGGTACTAAGGAGTTCCTGCGATTGTATTCATGCTTTGTTGAATATAATTTAATTGAAACTGTTGCAACAAAGCTTCCTTGCGAAGGAAAGTATGTTAGGAGTGAATGTACCACGTAAATCTGCTTTATAACTACTTTTAATTTCATCCGAAGTCTCATGAAGATTCCACTATAACTAATATTGATTTACTAGTAGGGGAAAGTCCCGTAATGCCGGGCGGTACCTAACGCCGGACGCTTGTATTATCTCGATAACAGATAACACGAGGAATAGATTTTTTACTTAAAATCTTAGGTGTGTGCCACTGGGAGACTTCCCCCTAAAATTGAATCGCTCGCGTTATTAGTTATTGAGATAATACAAGTTTCCGGCGTTAGGTGCCGTCCGGCACGCCGACGTGGGACTTGCGCCTACGTCTTATACCCGGAGACTGCCATTCTTGATGGATGCTCTTTGAATGAATCTCGAAGAAGAGGTGAAGCCTCCACGCATTACAGTTTTAATTATACTTCTGAAACTGAAAAATGTAACCAAACAATTTATTATCTTTCAGTTGAGTAAATTAATCTCTATCTTACTTTTTGATCACAAATTCCTTGCCCAGTTAAAATATTGTAATTAAAAATGGACTCGGTACATTAACAGCAATAATAATAATCCATTGTAGCAACAGCACATTAAGATATTTTGAAAATGAAGTGGTAAGGTGACGTAATCATTTTGGCATTGAAAATCATTATCATTCATCTTTGCGTTACTCATCTCACAATGATTGGTGAAATTTTTCTTAAGACCTACCTACGATATTTAATATAAAAGAATATTATCATTGTAATGTTACTGCAAATAAAAAGGAGTCTGTACTGACTGCCTCGTTGGCCGAGTGGTCGTAACTGCGACTGCCGGTCTCGGGTTCGATTCCCGGGTCGGGCAAAGTATTACTGGGTTTTTAAAAAAAATCTCAGTAATAGCACGAAGTCTGGAAACGTGCCCGGTATATGGCAATAGGCTCACCCCCTATTACATGGGACTCATAACATAAATAGTGGAAAGTGGGTGTTACATTGTACAGTTGGTATAATGTGCACCTCTGCCTACCCCTTCGGGATAAAAGGCGTGATGTTATGTTTAATGTCTGTACTGACTAGTCTGTATTTAAGTCCAATGTACTGAAATTCTCGATACTTTCTACGATTATCTTTAGTCTCGTCATGTTTAAATATAGGTGGGAAAATCACACCTCATTTGACTTGCAATACTTTTAACTTTGACAAAGCTACTCAAGTCGCTGATGCAAAGTCAGCGTTACAGTTACTATTAAATGTGACACTAACTAATACTATAACTACTTTCTGTTGTGCAACTAAGCCTTAGACAAGTTCGATTTGAAAAGAAGATGTAATTAAAGAAAGCATTGTAGTGTATTGAAGGCACTTTTGAACGTGAAAACAAAATATTGTAATATTAAAAATATGTCTGTCTGTCAGTCAGTCCTCTAGTGAAGCTATTTGATCGTTCCAAAGTATAGATTCTTATGGAGAAGAACGAGCAAGAAACTCCATAGGTTACTCTTTTCCAATCAGGTTTACAATACAATTATTGACACGTTAACCGGGGACCGGACGACTAGCGTTTAAACAAATTTAAATCGGCAGTCAAAGGCTTAAATTGGAGGACCACTATTATTATATTCTGCGAAAAGCACTGAATATAGAGTACGTTGGTAAATAGTACAATAATTCTTTTATGTTTTTAAAAACCTACTGAACCGCCTCTTTTTTTGAAGTCGGCTAGTTAATATACTAAAACGTTCTCCTAAATGTAGCAAGCTCGTTTACCGGCTTATGCCATAAAAAAAAAAAAAAAAGCAAACACTTTTCTGAAAATGACATCGAAATCGGTTCAGACGGATCACCTGATGGTAAGCAATCGGCGTCGCCCATGGACACCTGGAACACCAGAGGCATTACCAGTGCGTTACCGGCCTTTTGGGCATTAGGAGTTTGAGGATCGTTGGGGATTCAGGAATTACGGAGATTGGGGAAGGGGAGGGTAATTGGACCTCCGATAACCTCACTTACATGACGAAACACAACGCAAGCGTTGCTTCACGTTGGTTTTCTGTGAGGCCGTGGTATCACTCCGCTCGAGCCGGCCCTTTCGTGCCGAAGCATGGCTTTCTCACCCACTAACATACATACATCCTTTTTTTGAAGTCGGTTAATTCCCTATATCTGTATGTGTACAGTATTATACAGTAATGTAATGATTGATACAGACGACCTTGCAAGTTGGTACCAATTAAGTAGTTATAATCAACGCTTTTAGCAACTTTTAAGATAAAATGTTAGCGTAGTCATTACCTACAGACAAACCTTCGCAGTTAAATGAAATGGTTTAAGCAGTATAATTTAATACTTTAAAATACATTAGTGCAAATTAATAACTAATGGCAGCCACTAAAGATGTATAATTAAACATTGAATAAAAACTTACGAGATTTTTACAATTCACTTTCATGTTTTCAAGGACAATTATATTTTAATCTGTTTGAATATTTACCATCATAACATTAGAACTTTTATCTCCGAAGGTTCACATTACGACACTTAAATGCTACAGTACAATGTAACACCCACTTTTCACTATTTATGTTATGAGTCCCATGTAATAGGGAGTGAGCCTACTGCCATATACTGGGCACAATTCCAGACTCCGTGCTACTACTGAGATTTAAAAAAAACCAGTAATACTTTGTACGACTCGGGACTCGAACCCGACACCCCTTGCCCGGCAATCGGACTTGCGACCACTCGGCCAAAGACTCAGTCTGCCAACAAGGTTACTGATTGTTTTGTTTAAATTAAATTAAACTGTATCCTGAAGAAGGTTTAGGTAGACTTTAGTGGGTGTTACATAGTAGGGTGGCATTAAGTGCGACAATGTGCCCCTCTGCCTACCCCTTCGAGGACAAAAGGCGTAATGTTCTGTTATGAATCAGTAACCGTACAACTCTTTCTTCTTTGCATAATTGTACCGGATTTAAAATTTAAACTATCATTTATTACTTGGAACGGTTAATCGATTCGACTTAAGACTTTTTGCCGATTATATTGTGTAACCTAGATTGTTATAGTCTTACAGCATTAAAATTTCTGACTGATGTTAGGCATTTAGATAAGTTTATTTCTATGTCAATATGCCTAGAATATCTACAACAATATTATAAATATGAAAGTTTTTATGATAAAATTAAAATACATGTAAATTGATGTCTGCGTCGGTGGCCAAGTCGTCGCAAGTACGACTGCTGAGCAATGGCCTCGGGTTCGATTCCCGGATCGACAAAGTATTATTTTTAAAAATAATTTCATTAGTTGCACGTACTATGAAATTTTGCCCAGTATATGGCAAGTGGTTCACCCCTATCACATGGGACTCATAACATAAATAGTGAAAAGCGGATGTTATATTGTACAGTGCCATAATGTGCACCTCTGCCTACCCCTTCGGGGATAAAAGGGGTGATGTTATTATATGTTAAATTGAGGTCTGGAATAATACAAGCTACTTTTCATTCCGCAATATGTAAGTAGTCGCTAGGCCTGACTCCTTTAAAAGAACATAAGAGAATTGAAAAATATAACTAAATACCCTTTATTTTCTTAAGGTCATCAGATCAGATCAGATATTATACAAAAGTAGGTACTAAGAATTCCAAGACAAACCTCCTTTTTTAAAGCTGAATCTTCGTGTTACAATTACGTCCACTCGACCTAAGAAGAAGTGTATCAAAGAAACAGCAGCTGCAATGCATACAAATTCTAAGTAATCTTCATTCACATTCTAAGCACCTGCGTGTTTACTATCATAAACTGTAATAGCATTCAGTTTATAGCAATTGTAAGCACTATTAAATATTATTCAACGTTACATCTGTTAGGTAACCTCTTAGATAACATTGATCAATTAAAATTTATAGAAAAATAAACTGAAAGAACAGTTTTAATTATTTTTGATAAGACGGATATTTGATGTTTGAAAAGAAGATGTGACTACGTCGTTATTAAAAGCAAGTAGTATCAGGCTCATTTCTAGGATCGGGATTGTGGGATGAATTAAGTATTTTGTTATTGTTTTATTATGTTTATTTTTCATTCTACTATTATCAAACTGTACATTGTAAAATACATAGTCTCTGGAATTGTGTGTTATAGCAATGAGTTCACCTCTATATCTAGATAAAATGTATGTTACATTAAACATCTGCTTGAAACTAGTCGAGTTCCTCGTCAAATTATTACGTGAGTAAGCCGAAAACATAATAATATATGATTGTGTATATTTAGCTCCCTCTACCGGCAATCGTAGGTAACAAATTTAAATTCATTTAACATACATTTAATCCATACCGTCTTCTAAATAGGGTACATATTTTTTTTTTCTTAAATGGCCAACACTTTAACCGCTGTGCATTCAACCGTAAAATGGTTGATAGAAAGTGTTATAAATTCGTTTTCTTTCTTATAAGAAGCTGAATGACATCGTGGACGCCATTGCTGTAGAGGTACAGTTCATTTACACTATAGTACAATAGTTTTAAAATGGAGACTAAAATACTGGTGAGTTTGGATTTTTACTGTTTTTTTTTTCTAGTTCTAGTGTGTTAGCATTTATTATAGGTTATTAGTGTTTTAGAAGTATTCATCTAGTTAATTGTTGCTAAAATGCAAAGCGTTTGAAAATAATTTAAAACAATATTTTTATAATAACTATCGTGAGGCATACTAAATTAAGTAAAATCGCGGGGTGCTCATGAGGAAGAACCCTTCTATGGTTCGAAACTATTAGAGCTTGTCTCAGTATATCCACGTGAGTAACCCGCGATTTTACTTAATCAAATAAACAATAGTTAGGTAGATTTATTCTCAGGTATTGGTTTAGTATAATTAAAAAAATATTTTATACTGTTTGAAACACACTCATCGATAGAGCAGTAAAATGCTTTTCATTATATTTCTGAGTACCATTCTTTTATCTCTATTTATTAAATATAATAACTGTTTACTCTCTTTAATTGGCAAATGGAAATAAATCATGTTTTTCCTGTCGAAGGACTGCAGGAAGAGATTCCTACGAGAATATGTAGTGCCTATGTACCTCCAAATTATTTATATATATATTCTCCTGTGTTCTGTCTGTGTGTTGTGCATAAATAAATAAATAAATATAATGCCCAACAAATAGTTATTACAGTATTGTATACAGTTAACAAAATAATATAGTTAATAGTTAAATCAACTTTTATGCTAAATACAACAATCAATAAGAGACACAAGCAAAGCAACAAAGCTTATAACACATTGCACACAATTTACAACTGCAAAATTAATTATCTTATCTAATTATCATAAATTTCATAAGTCACGTGTTTGCCATTAATCAAGTTATGAGTGAATAAACACCTACTGGCCTTAGACATTAAGATTGTGCAATTAAATTGTAATTGTTCGTGCATACATTAATTGTAACTGGTTGACACTAGTTAGTTGTAGTTGATACTTTCTAGATCACATTTTATGAAACATTAACTTTTACCCGCGGCTTTGCCCCAACTCCAATAACAATTTACTTATTTAACTAAAAATCGCGGGTTACTCGGGTGAAAATATGGGGTGAGCTTTGCTATATACCCGACATAATTCCAGACTCCGTGTTACGATTGAGATTTCAGCCCGATCCGGGAATCAAACCCGAGACCCTTTGCCCCGAGACTGTGTGCAAATAGACACAATTTTCTTTCTTTTTTCTTTGCCCGGCCGTCGCACTTTCGACCACTTGGCCAACGAGGCAGGCACTAATTATTTTAATATGTTAAACTGTCAAACGCCAAGCGGTCACCGGTGACCGCAACCTATTGTTCTATAATTGCGTCTACAAAACCGGTACTCGACGAGTTAATAATACTGTCAACCCATTAGTGACTAAATTTTGTCCTAAATCAGCTTAGTTTTGTCTATTTCAACAGTCAAACGGTGTATATATTGAAATAGTTATTTCCTGTGTTATGACGAAATCTGTTTATCGAAACTCAAAAGTTACAAAAACTATGTTTATCTTAGAATGGTATAATTAAATCGATAGTTTTCTTAATCATGGCGATTACCTAATTATGTTACAATCAAACCAAAAGTAAAAAATAATGAACTGAACTACTATAAGATGTATATTCAATAAAAGCAGAATTTATATCATATTAGCTTCTGCCAGCGGCTTCGCCCGCGTTTTATCGGGATAAAAAGTTGCCTATATGTTATTCCAAACTAAAATCTGCCCCTGTTCCAAATTCATCTCGATCCCTTTAGCCGTTTTTAATGAAGGAGTATCAAACAAAAAAACAAACAAACATGCATACATACTTTCACATTTATAAAATTAGTAGGATTTAGTGCCTAATTTATAATAACATAAACTCGAAATGAGTTAAATAAATTCAACATGAAATTTGAACCAATTATTTATTTCAATTCCAGTTAATCTTATCCTGCATGGTCCTAGCGACAGCAGCATGGTCGCTGCCCTACTACCCAGTACCACAGGGACCAATGAGGTACACGAGGTTTGCCCCGCCACCACCCCCGCCTGCGCATCTACGGTTACATCCCCTGCATCATCATCATCATCATCATCAAACACCTCTACATTTGCAGCCGCAAGCCCAACCCCATTTACAGCCACAACATAAGACTCCTGGTAGGTTTTGTTTCTATATGTCAAATGAGCTTTATCATTTTTAGATGATTTATTTTTGGCTTTTGTTTTGATGAAAAGCAATTATCAGTCTACAATTGTCACATAAGAGGGTTGTCTCTAGCGTGTCCCCATGTATCAGTGCAATAAAATTCATTATAATTTATAATCAGTACCACAAATTAGGCAATAAAGCGTAACAAAGGAACTAACTTTTTTGTCAAAGGAAAGCTGAAACCTCAAACTTTTTTATGCACCCCGACGATGGCAAAAAAAGGATACGACCCACCCGATGGTAAGCGGTTACCGGTGCCTATGTACGCTTGCAACACTTCAAACTCTACAAGACAACCCAAAACTACTCCAAGGGCCGTAATACGTAATAGCAAAAACCGAGTCACTTCAACGAATTTCTGAAACAACACAAATTTAAACAATCCGTATTTACCTTTACAGCAGAATCAGCAGACATAGAAGACTCAAAATGGCAGCGTCCCAAACGTGGTCACGACGACTATGACCATGATCACGATCATGACCACAAAGGTACCAGTGGAGTCACAGGTCCCGTCCACACGTTCGTCAAAACTGACAAGAATGCTAACTACAAATGGGGCGTGAGACACCACGTGGGGGACAAGTACGCCTCCTAAACCCCAAATCATCCCTCCAAAATTACTGTTACATTATTTATTTAATAATACTTTTAGATTTAATTGTTGTGTTACTTAATTAGATTTATTTTACTCCAACCGTTGTTTTATTGCATCTACGTGAGTGAATTCTAATTCTGATGCAATTGTGGTACAAAATGCAACGCGAGTAAAATCTGTTGAGCGCGGAATTCGGAATTTAGCTTATCTATGTAATTGGTTGCTTAGGTTCTTGCTCTCGATTTTTTTCGAATACATTTCGATACATTAAAGTGTGCATTGTAGACTTTTAATTTAAGATAAGGAGAATAGAGTAGTTTCCTAAATTTTATCTTAATGTCCGTCTGGTACAACAGTTTAAAACTTTAGATACGTATTTTTTCTTTTCTCACAAAATAAATACTTTCGACGATATATTAATTTGAATTATCGTGTGACGTCACAGCGTGTCACATTTTGTAGCACGTTATGACGTAACAACCTCCCACTCCTAAACTTAGCGCCATTTAATCTAAGTATTGCAACTTAATAAAAGAAAATAAAAATATACGTGTCTAATATTTTTTTATTATCTAACCGACGGACTAATTAAATTTTGATAACCTGGAAACTACCCAATTCACATTTAAGGACTGAGTGATACATTAAATCATTCATAACCTCTATTTACAAGTTAAGTTAAAGACAGACGAAAACAAATAAGAAATAATAGCCATTAACATCTTACTACTTCTTAGACGCATCTTACATCATTACTCCAATTACAGGGTGTTCACTCAATACACTTGTTCAGTTCTCAGAAAGTGCATTCGGCATGGCAAATCTTTCACATTACGCGTTCTCATATAATCGAGTTGTAACTCGGACTTATTCGCTCTACTGGTCGAGTTGACCACGCCCTGTGCGTTAAGTGTTGCAATACCATGTATGTGCTAACGTGACCTGTCACTGATATCGTGGATGATATAATTGAAACAGATTTTAAAATAAGCACTTAGAATAGGATATGAGTATTAGATCAGTACTAACTCCCCAAAAAGACTTTGACTTTGTAAGTTTAATAAAGCTACCACGCCCGGTAGATGGGATGTAAATTGCCTCTGCTTCAAAAGGCCACGCTGTCAACACATGCTAAAGGACAACCGAGTACAAGCTAACTTCGAGTACTACTAGTCCTACTATCCAAAAACCATACAACTTTTTTACTTTTACATATAACATTACGCCTTTTAGTCACTGTACAATGTAACACCCACTTTTCACTATTTATGTTATTAGTCCCATGTAATAGCCTAGCCATTGCCATATACTGGGCACTTTTCAGACTCCGTGCTACTACTGATTTTTTTTAAAAACCTTCTAATACTTTGACCGTCCCAGGAATCGAACTCGTACTTGCGACCACTTGGCCAACAAGGCAGTCTTATTCTTATAATCTCTATAATTTAAGATAATGACTTAAAGAAATAAACTTAATTAACGCAGAGCAAAGTTGAAAATAATACTAAAGAAAGGTCAGATCGCTCTCGATAGGGTAACTAAGTGGTCAATATTACATACTCAAAATTTTTAGTCAGAAAGTTGGAGATTCGACGGAAATGTTGCCCAAACTGACTTGAACAGATTTAAATGGTCATTTAAAATACTATATGATGCAATATCTACGTTTTTATATCTCTGCTGATACATCAAAATTGTCATTAACGGCTCGGATTTCCGATCGACCAATTAGAGCGTTTTAAATTTATCGGTTGAACTGCTAATGATTGCACGAAATTGAATATTTCATTTAATTAAAAGGTTAATGGGATTGAGTGTTTAAGAAATTTTCTTAGGTACATACTTGTGTTATGTGTAAATTTGGTAGGCTACTGAACATACCAATGCGATGGTTACGAAAGGAAAAGGCTTCGTTGAAAAACATACAAATTATTACAACAATGGCTGCATACTATAATAATAATTAAAAAAAATATCACTACATACTATAAAACAAAGTCGCTATCCGCAGTCTTTCTGTCCCTATATATGCTTAGATCTTTCAAAACTACGCTACGGATTTTATGCGATTTTTTTAATAGATAGAGTGATTTTTAGAGGAAGTTTTATGCCTTCCTTAAGAATCACTCTATGTATGTATTATACATATAAATGTATAAAACATGCATATTGCAACCGTGCGAAGCCGGGGCGGATCGCTAGTAATTATTAACTATATAAAATATAAGCCTCAGTACGTTCACTGCTGAAAATAGGCCCCTGTGACTTCCAAATAGGCCGATAGGAAGCGACTTGCATCTAATTTAACTACCTGATATTAATTGATGATGATGATTATGACGATACTAAATACTTTGGCTGATTTTGCTGTACTATATTCAGGACATGGCAATTCTATTGACAGTTTAATTCAGGGTTGACCCTGTTCTTATCAATAACATAACTGTGACATATCATGCGAGTAGAGTTGTAGTTTAGTAAGTAGGTTTAATGAGCACACGTGCAAAGCTAATTAAAGTACATTACATTCACTGACTTGGATAACAAAATGGACGCAGAAACTAAAGTAGTAATAATAATTTAGTGACATTTAATCTTTATCTTAGTCATACTCTTAAGCCTACAATTGGGAAAATAATATTCAGAATTCGTCTTGCCTACAAAATACAAAATTCTTCTCGTTCAAAGTCAAAGTCAAAGTCAAAGCATTTATTTCAATTAAACCATAGTTTGGTACTTTTGAAACGTCAACAAATACAAAATAAATAATAGTCTGTCAGTCAGTCCGTCAGTGAAATTAGGTGAAGCTAGGTGCTCATTCCAAAACGTAGATTCGAATGGAGAAGAACGAGTAAGAAACTCCATTCGTTACTCTTTTAAAAAAGTATGTTCTACAATGTCTCTCGTTGAGACTGACGTGGTCTCATTATGTCCAAGACCAAGTAAGGAAAAATATTTGTTAACCGGTTGAATGCACCGATATGAGATATTATAGAAAATACATTGTCTCGCATGGATCCGCGTTTAAACACATGAATGGTTAAACTGTACTTACCAAGGGTACTCACATTTTTTAACCCCAAAATGGGAAATCCTTATGGAGCTCCCTCGCTTGATGAGGCCGAAAGGGACTGTCAGACTCTTACTGATGGATTTGACACAAGTCAAACTAATTACGTTACAGAATTCAGAGTATGGCATGCAGGTCTATTATTTTTGTAACAAAAAAAGCAATGTAACTGGCACTAAAGACACTAAAGAAAATAACAGACCGAAACAATCCTACATACTTATTAACGAAAAGATATCCATTTCTTTTATCAGTACGTATGAATTAACACGACATTACACAAACACTTCATACTTTCACTGTTCCAGTGTTGCCATTACGTATAATTACACACAGATAATTAATTCCTAGTATATTGTCACTGCCTTCGCGGTTTCTAGCTGTTTGTTTGTTCGGTCTGTTGGTTTAGTGGTTTCAATGTTAAGGACAATGTTCTTTTATTGTGACATCATGTAATTATATTTTATATGAGTGGCTTGTTTGTCGAGTTTAGAATCGAATTACAAACGCCACTATTAAATTAAGGGCTAGAAAAATATGAACATTAGATTGTTTTAGTATTTAGAAACTTTCAGTAACAAGGACTTGAGATAGGAATGGTGCATGATAAAATGAACCATGGTACACTCTACTACATGGTAGTCATAACCGGAAAAATTAAGAATAACAATTAAAATCCAAGCGATTAAAAAAAATCACAAGAATGTTTTACTCAACCACACTATAAACCTAAAACTCCTTACTTGGCAGACCACTCGATCAACGTGGTAGTCCAACTAATCAGCTCATTAAACATAAGTATTAGTTTAAACTATTTACTTTCCAAAAACCAACGCCTACCTTTACATCGTGAGTGTATCTAAGTCCGTTCTAAATTAGGTTATAACTTACAACTTATAAGTCTCATAACAGCAACTCGTATGTTCCGCAACTCGACCGGTTATCAGTTACATTATGACAAAAACTCGGTCATGTACTGTGCAACCTACATATGTAGGTACATAATGATTTTGCTCAAAAATGTAGCCTTGTTTAATCTGTGAATGGTATTTCTATAACTGAGAGACTAAAATTTGACCCCTACCGTATTCTGGTCATTATAGCAATAACTATTCTTTTCATTTAATGCAAAACAGATATTAATTTCAAAGTTTTACTGACAATAATGCTTAAAAAAATCCCTGAAGTTGCTAGTATAAAAGACATCAACGCGGTGTCACATGAAATGAAATATTATTTTCAATTTTTAATACGTTATATGTTAGTTTGAAGTTGTTCGTGTTAATCCTTAAGTTCTAAAATATAAATAAAGAGAAATAACGTAACGATCATGTTCTTGAAAAGGACCTAAGGCTTCTTACAACTGCTTTGAGTCTTTGACCATGCAAGCTTTTATATCAATTACAATACACACCTGAAATGTATTCCATTTTATAGTGAAGTTAATTTGTATTCATTACTTTGAACTATTAGATATAACTTATAAGTTATTTTACATGTTACATTCACGAGACTTTCAGTTACCTGAAATTAATTTATTGTCAAAACCTTATTTACAATAATTGGATACACTTCCTATATGCTGAATTTATGTTTGTTTATTGTGACAACTATTGAGCTTTTCCTACACACAGTATAATTTGAAAATATTCAGTTGGACGTGTTAATGAAGATTTACAGGAAAATTATACGTAGTTCATTTGAAATCAGTTAGGCTAATTGATATTACAGCTATTCAGATGAAATATTGATTTTCGGTTCCGCAAAATATAACCAGATACATTTAATTTACTGTAGAAGTGCAGAGAACTTTTTCGCTTTTAAATACCCAAATTACATCTACCTACTACGGCTAAGCAAAATTTTGAAAATGATTTGTATTATTTACTTCCTTATTATTATTACTTACCACGGAATCTTTGCCTTTGTTCATATTACAATGCAATATAATCATCTTCTTATTAAATGCTGTATTAAATGAAGTTAATAGCATAACTGGTTAAAAGTATCTGTTACATTGCGT